GCTGGGGGGGGGGGGTCCGTGCTGTCCCAGGGCCAAGGGGCCAGGACTTACCTGCTTGGGCTGGGGCGAGGAAGGGGAAGCCGGTGAGGCCGTGGCTTGGGACGCCGGAGCTGCCCGGGGTGAGCACGGGGCTCAGGGTCTGCAGAGTGGGGTACAGCGGCCGCTGCGGGAAAGCGGGGTGCCCCCCCCGTCAGGCTTCGTGCTGCCAACCCCATGGGGGGGGTGTCGTGATGCAGCCTCTCCTCACCCCAGCCCCTTCCTTTGCCCCCCAGCAAAGCCCCAGTGCTGGGCTGAGGAAGGGGAGGTGGGAGCGGATCGGAGAAGCTCCTCGCTGAATTTGGGGATAGGATGTCTGTGCGGCTCCGAGGGGACACTGCGCACGGTGACTAGCTGGGAGATGCCTGGCTGCAGCGAGCCATGGCGAGGGGGGGACACCCCTCACCCTGCTGCCCCCTCCCACGGTGCCACTGCTGGGGAGTGGGGTGCGCAAGACCACCGAGCATCCTGCTGGCACCGACCCCCACGGGAACCCCCACGGCCAGGGTGTCCCAACCCCACGGAACCAAAGGCACCCCAAGAACACAGAGCCAGCCCACCCCAGGGGCAGGGGGCTGCAGATTTGGGGGGGGCTGCCAGCATGCCAGCCCAGGCAGTGAATGCTGCAGGCCCGGTGTCCCCCTCTACAGCACTCACCGCCGTGCTGCCGCCGCTCCGGCCACTTGCCAAGCCGCCGTGGGCTTCGCCGCGCCGGCCCTCTGCCCCCAGGTAGAGCGGTGGGGGAGTCTTGGTGGCCAGGGCTCGGTTCAGGCTGCCGGCAGGGAAGAGTGGGTAGCCGATACCTGGACAGACAGAGGGACAGGAGGATGCACAGGGTGACCCCGAGGGATGTGGGGTCCCAGGGGCTCCGGTCCTTGGCGGGGGCGGGGGGGGGGATCCCCACGGTGCCCTCGTCGCCGCAGGCGGCCGTGCATGCCTCCACGGTGCTGCGCTCCGGCAAACCCACATCCTGCGCGAGGCCGTCGGTGCACCTGGGTTGCGGCGGCCGCCCCCGGGTCCACTGCGACCGCACGCTGCGAGCGGAAACGGTGCGCGAAGGCGGTGGCCGGATCCGGCCCTGGGGCCAGCGGGCTGCAAACCTCCCTGGTTGGACCTTGCTGCGGGGAGAACCCTCGCCCCAGCTCCCCACGCAGCAGCCGGGACGTCCAGCGTGCCTGAGGCCGCCACGCCATCCCCGTCCAGGGAGATGGGAATGATGCACGTCTGCATCCTGCACCGGGAATATTGCCCAGCCACCCCCGTGCCACCTCCCATCCACCAATCAAGCCCCAGCATCATTTTTTCCAGCCACTTTTCCGCCGCATGGCCCTGGAGGCACCCGTGTGCCTGTCACCACCCTGGGCTGGTGCCGTCCCACCGGGCAGGATGAGCCCCTCGTGCCTAGCTCCGAGCTGTGCCACACGGGAGGGAGCTTTGGTTGCAGGGTGCCGGGGCCAGCCGGGTGCCGGGTGCCAGCAGGGCACAGGAAACAGCTGGATGGAGGCAGGGGATGGTGTTTCCACAGCTGTGGCAGTGCTACCTGCCCACGCACCCACCCCGGCCCCACTCCCGGTAAGTCCCTGGGAGATGCTGCGAGAGGAGCTTTGCATGCGGCCAGCCGGGAAAATCCCCACGGGGCCGGCGAGGACAAGGGGCCCACGGTGGGGACCTTCTCCCCTGCAGCCAGTTCCCTGTGTGATGGGTCTGAGCCTACCTGGGGGCAGCGGTCCCGGCGAGCGTCCTGACGGCTTCGGTGCTGCCGGCTTGAAGGCGGGAGGGCGACCCTGGCCCTGCGGGGAGCCGCTGGTGCTGCCCAAGGACGTGTCAGCGGCCGGCGGGGAGCTGCCGTAGGCTGCTTCGGGCAGCGGTGCCGGGCTCTGCAGGGCGAAGTGGAGGTGAGGGACGGGAAAGGGATGGGGACCCTCGGGGACCCTCACCCCCGGTGCCATGGGACGGCAGCGACTCACGTAAAACCTGGGCCGTGCCACCGACAGGTCCATGCCCTCGCTCAGCCTTCGCGCCTTCTCCCCAGGATCTGACCCCTCGTCCAGCTCCAGCTCGTGGCTCTCCAGCCCCAGCCCCTTGCGCTTCAGCGTCTGCGGGGAGCGGGACCGTGAGCAGGGTCCTGTGCCCATCCCAGCACCCCCCCCCAACCCCAGCCACCCCTCGCCGCTACCTCAAGGATGTCGGAATTGGTGCGGCTCTCGTGGGGCTCGCTGTACTCCGTGTACTTGAGCAGCACCTTGTCCATGTCGGTGCTGGCGTACTGGAAGAGGCGGTTGGTGCTGTTGAAGATGATGAGGGCGATCTCGCAGTCGCACAGGACGCTCAGCTCGTACGCCTTCTTCATCAGCCCAAATTTCCGCTTGGTGAAGGTCACCTGCAGAGCAGGGAAGGGGATGGGATGCTGCACCCAGGACCCCTGGATACAGCCCCAAACCCTCCGGAGGCTCCAACACCCGCGGGGAAGGTGGGAACAGAGCGGCTTTGCCTCCCTTCATGGCTTCGTGGGTCCCGGTCCCCCTCGTCCCCACCACATCCCCAAGCGGCTCCTACCTGCCGGTTCCGCTGATCCAGTATTCGGCTGATCTGTATTTTTTTCCGGCCCATTTTCACCTCCTAAGCTCGAGGAGGGGCTGGAAGAGAGCGAGAAGCCCCTGAGCCCTCGCAGTCCGGGGCCAGCCCAAGCAAGCATCCGCCCCTGCACCGCCCACGCCTCCTCGCCCCTCCGGCTGCCAAAAATAAGTTTTGCGGAAAAAAATAAGTTTTCAGAGGAAGTTTCAGCATTTTTTTTCAGCAAAGAGTGTGGCAAACTGAAAAATGAAGAAAAAAAATTGGGAAATTCTGCTGGGGCAGGGGGGTGAAAAAATCACCTTAGCTCTGCCCAGCCAGTTCCACCGCCCCAGCTCCATCACCCCTACCCCACACTGGCCCCGGGGACCCGAGCACCTGCATGTGCTGGCCGAAAAGCCGCGGTGCCACGATGCCAGGACCCTCGCTGGGAGCAGGGGATCAGCCTTTGCATCCCCAAGCGCCCGCCCGAAGCCGCGGGGGCTGCTCCGACCCTGCCCCGTGCACTGATGCTGTTCACCAGCGGGTCCGTCGGATGGGGAGGGCGGTTATAAGGGAGGCTGGGCTGGCTGCGGGGAGGGTCCGTAAAACAAAAGGGCTGGTTTTAGGTTCAAGGTTGGGGTTTTTTTTTAATTTTATTTTTATTTTCTTTTTTTTTCTAACGCGAACAGACTAAATTTGACCTCCGCCATTCGCAGGTCAGGAAGCGGCTGTACGAGGAGACAGCAAAGCGAAACCACCCACCTCTTCGGGCCACGTGAGCCAGCACTGGGAAGGGCGAGGGGTCGGGGGACCCTGCATCCCACCCCACTTGCAGGGTGCCAGCACCCGACGCAGCCCATCTCTGGGCTGTGACACCCCCCAAAAGCTGCCGCTCCTTTTGCAGTTGCCCAGCACTGGTCACCCCAAAACCCCTCTGGAATGCCCCAGTGCCACCGCAGCCCGGCGCAGAGCCACGGATGGCATTAAAACTCTTCCAATGGGACCCTTGCACCCAGCCTCTCCACCCCAAATTGGGTGCAGACGTGGCCCAGCTCGGTCCCCGCCGTCCCCAAGACATGGCCACGGGGCAAGAGCCGAACTGGGAAGCTGGCGGGGCTGGGAGCTCTGTGCTCCAGCTCGCCGGGGACGGCAGCACCTCGGGAGCCCCCCTGAGCGTGGCCAGCAGCCCCCCCCATTGCAGGGCTGTACCCCAGGGGTGCAGGCTGGGGACCGGCCAGCCCTTTGCTCCCCCGATGCCCCAGTTTGTCCCGCTTCCCCCTCTCAAGCATGTTGCCATTTACCATCTTGCTCAGCTTGCTATATTTAGCTGATCAAAACTAATTTTAATTTATGGAAGGAAATCATGCTGCCGTTCCCACGGCCCTGCTGCCACCCTGTGTCCCGGGGCCCACGCACGACACCAAGGTACGGGGGGTGCCGAGACCACCCCAGCTCCCCCCCCCCGGAAAAAGCCAACGATTCCCTGGTGAAAAGGCAGAGGTTTTCCCAACGATTGCTGCTGCCCACATGGGACCAAGGCTGCTCCTGCCGTCCCAGCACCGACACCTGCAGCACAGCATCGGGCCAGGGCGCTCCCAGGTATACAGCCGGGGCTGCCCGGAGGGGTCAGCTCTCGCTTGCCCACCCCCATCCCATGGTCTTTAATTTGGGGTGCGGAAACAGGAGCTGTTCGCCGGGGGGCCCCGGCTCGCAGCTGGGTTTGGCCTGTTTGGATCAGGGGATGCTCGCCCGGCCACGAGCTCCCATGTTCCTGCACAGCTTCACTCTGGGGGGGGATTTTTAAAGGCTCCAGGGTGCTGGGGACAGGAGGATGTGTCCCCCCATCTGCAGTGGGGACACGAAATGCTGCCAAGGGCCCCCTCAGCTGGGGCCAGCACCCCCAGCTCCTCGGATGCTGTGGCACCCTGATGCCCTGCTCCAGCACCCCAGTTTCTAGTTGTATGGGAAGTGCAGAGGGAGACGGTCCCTACACTGGGACTGATCCCGCAAGCCTGTCCCTGGCCCCAGCCTGCCCTGATGCCTGGCCACGTCCCCCCCCGCCCTCCATGCTGCTCCGGGGCAGGGGACATGCAACAGCAGCCACCACCCGGGCACGAGCACGGCTCTGAGCCCCAGAGGAGCCACATCTGCCCTGGCAGGGTGCTCTGGGGGTACCAACACCCATGGGACAATGTTGCAGGGGTTCCAGGGGAGTACTGGCACCCATGGAGTGATGCTGCAGGGGTCCCAAGGGGGTCCCAGCACCCACGGGGTGATGCTGTGGGGGTCCCAGGGGGGTACTGGCACCCATGGGGTGATGCTGCGGGGGGCCCCATCCCAGAATAGCAAGCAGGGGTGGGAGGCAAGAGGAAGTGGCAGCCGCAGCACTGTCGGGCTGGGGGAGCTGAGGACCCGCTGCAGCCGGGGCTCACGGCACGCTCACCGTGGGCTGGGCTGGGTGTGGGGCGGTTCGTCCCCCCGCCGGGGAAACCGTCTAAGGCCTCGTGCAACACGCGGGGCGGTTTCATCAGCCACGTCCCCACGCAGCTCATTACGGGCTCCGCTCCTCCTGGGGCATCGCCTCGGCCGCTCGGCCACCGTGGCCACGTGGGACCCGCGGGGACATGCGCAGCCCCAGCCGGGCCACCGCCATCACCGGCACCGCGCCATGTGCCGGGGTCTTGCAGGACAGGCGCAGGGCTTGGCCCGGCCGCGGGGCAGGGGAGGGATGCTCGCCGGGAGCGGGGTCCAAGGCGTTACGGCTTGCTGCCTGCACGGGTCCCGGTGTCTCAGCCACCGCAGTGCAGCAGGGCACCGGCGCTCGGTTCCCCCCGGACAGGTATTAAAGGCTGGGAGGGGAGGAGGGACTTTCACGCTGGATTTTAATTGCTGCGCCGGGCGATAAGGCGATAAGCAGCATTATGGCTGCAGGCGATTATGGCAGCCGGCGGTGATGGGCACAATGGGGTGGCTCTGCCCAGCATTGTCACCTCCATCCCGTGGTCCAGCGAGGTGGCATCCTCCAGCCTTGTCCCCGTGGCCGGGGACAGCAGCGAGGGAGCAGCCTGGCTCCCGTAAGGAGCCAGTGTCCAGCGAGGGCTCATGGCCAGGGACCCCCACGCAGGAGGGAGCGGGGTTGGGGTGCCAGCCCTGGAGAAACCCTGCAGCCTCTCATTGCATTCATCTCCACCGGGTCCCACCTCGCACAAACGGCTCCTCGTTAGCGTGGCCGCGATGGGAACTCATGACACAGCCTGGCTGCGGGGACGAAGCACCCTTCAGCATCGTCATTACGAACGAGGCCAACAAAACCCAGCACAAGCAAAGCTCTCGAGCCCTCAAAACCTTTCAGAGAGGAGATGCTTTCCCCTGCCCGCGCCCGGCGGAGGCTCCCGCGCTGCCTGGCATCCCGCCGGCCTCCACTCCCTCCCACGCACGCTTATCTTTAGCCCGGGCTCTCTGCTCGCTCGCACGCACCGGGCTCGCTTCCACACCCAGGCACAGCCCCTCATCCCCACCGTCCCTTTGCCAGCACCCGCAGTGAGGTATCACCCCAACCCCCTGGGCCGCAATGAGGTTTGTAATTAACTCCCTGGCTCCTGTACATCTTTAGGGGTCATTTGCATCACGCCAGAGCCTGTAAACTCCCTATCCCAGCTCCTAATTAGCGCACTGAGACGAAGCGAACCCCTTGAGAGCAATGTGTTTTTCCGTATGCAGCGTGGTACAGGATGCTCGGCATGGTACCGGGGGGTCCCAGCGCTGCCTTTGACACCTTTACATTCTTCTCCATCCCTAAATAATCCCAGAAATGTTAAATCCACCAAGTTTATCCTGAAGTCAAAGCAGAGGGGTTATTAGGGGAGCCCCCAGACCCCGGAGTGGCTTCCGCTGCTCCGGGGTCCGGGCACTCCCCTAATAACCCCAGGTCAGGGTGTCTGAAGTCCCCAGCATTTCATCCTTCCACCTCTCCCATCCCCATGGGACAAAGTGGTATCGACGTAGAAACTGGGGAAAGAGGCCGTTTTCACCAAACTATGGGGATTTTGTTGCAAATCTGAAGCTGGGGGTGACTGGGTAGAAATGGGGGGGGGGCGGGGAAGAGAGCGGCCAGCAAGTACCCGCTGTTGGCGTTTGGCAGCTTCCAAAAAGTGTTTTGTTGGAGAAAAACAATGATTAAAGTGGGAGAAAGAGTTTCCATCCCATCTTTTACAGGGAAAAGAAGCGAGCTTGGCCAGGAGGGGAAAATCTGAGCCAGGAGCAGCAAAATCCCAGGGGAGGGCAGGCCAGATGCTGCATCGCTGGGACCAGGAAGGCAATAAGATTGAAACGGGGATTTAAGGACCACCCGTCATGGATGGACACATGGTGCTGGGACCACCATGGGTCACTTCCATCCCTGGCCAGTGCTGCCCTGCTTCCAGCGGGGACACGGCCATGGCTCTCACCAATCCCCAGGGAACGGCAGCGCTGGGGCCTCGTGGTGCGAGCAGCATCCTAAACCCGGCGCAGGGAAAAGTCAGAGTTGAGCAGGATTTCTGCTGGGGCTTGACAGGCCCTTCTGCTTTTTATAGGTTGTTTAAACAACTAACCAGTATAAACCAGAGCGGGGCCAGCAGCGCAGGAAGGGAAGCGGGGAAGGCAGGAGGAGCCTGCTGGGAAGCAGGGGAAAGGAGAGCCTGGTGGGGACGTGGTGCTGCAGGGGCTTGGGGACAGCCGGGGCACCGAGGGTACATCAGGGCGCTGGGGACAAGAGGGTTGTATCTGCTAACCACATTCCTCCATCTCACAAGCATCACCCCAGCACCCAGCAAAATCCCCAGGGGCAATTATAATTCATCTCTCTACCCCCATTGCAGCACGGGGCCCGGCCATGGCATGGCTCTGCGCCCCTCCAGAGCCAAATCCAGGCCTTGGCTGGTCTCGGGGGGACCCGGCTGCCATCCAGCCCTGGCTCCATCCCGCTCAGAGTGACACAGACCGAAAGTCCCACCAGCGCCCAGCACTGCTGCAGCCAGGTGCGATCGGGCGAAGTGCGGTGATGGGTGGAGACTTTT